AGCGAATGTTCTTGAGGTACTTAATTATATTGATGCAAAACATCTATTGAACTCCTTTTGCAGAATATATTTGCATAGATGACCCAACATTTGCATAGATGTCTTACTCTCTTACTTAGTTCAACCAACTTGTATCAAAGCTTGAACTGAGACATGGAGTTATATTTGAGACACCAGGATATTTGAATTTTTTATAGTTCTACCTTGGACATCTAATTCGTATAACAATTATGACCCAACATTTTCTGACACTACAAATCATCTTGAAATCATAAGCTTGCGTATTAAATCATAAGCTTGCGTATTCTGAATATCTACTTCCGCACACATACAGTACAACCTTATGCCATAATATTTCTGCAGGCATCTATGCTATGGAGGAAACGGGTAACTGCAATAGCTTCTGAATTTCCTGACGTTGAGCTGTCACACATGTACGTTGATAATGCTGCAATGCAGCTTGTTAGGAATCCTAAGCAGGTTTGTTTCTTTGTATGTAATTTATTTCACGCTGAGCTAATTAAGCAGTGAGAATGTGCTGACCTACTGAGTTTGGTGCATCATCACAGTTTGACACAATTGTGACAAACAACATTTTTGGTGACATATTATCGGACGAAGCATCAATGATCACAGGAAGCATTGGAATGCTCCCATCTGCCAGTGTTGGTGAATCGGTAATAAAGGCCCCGCGATTTTCTTTCAAGTCACATTAAATTGCCTGCAAACACACTTATGCTGAAAATGCCGGAAAAAATCTTTTAAGGATCTTTTTCTTTGTAGGGACCGGGTCTATTTGAACCTATCCATGGCTCTGCTCCTGACATTGCTGGGCAGGTTGATACAGCTTGTAATTTCAGAACATCTATTTGTGCAGAAACCTACTATATTGCCTTTCGTTGTCTAACCCTGCTTAAAATCCTGCTTGCTCTTGCAGGACAAGGCAAACCCATTAGCTACAATTCTTAGTGCAGCGATGCTATTAAAATATGGCCTTGGTGTAGAAAGTGCTGCAAAGAGAATCGAAGCCGCGGTTACAGAGACACTGGACAATGGATTCCGAACTGGAGACATATATTCTCCTGGGACAGTAAGATTAGTCCATGCAAACATATTCAATAATTGCTGCACTGAATATTTTCTACAGTTATCTTTGAAGAGAAATCCAATGACTATGTTTCTGTCAAACAAATAATTAAATATTCATCTGCTTCGCACAGTTGTAGCTTTCTACTTGCACGTCATCTCTTAGCCTGCCAAAAACTTGACCTGTGACCACTAGTTGTGGAATATACTCATTAGCAAGCACTACCTTTTGCTCTCTTGTTTCATCTTTTTTCCGAATTTACACCATTTATGTTCCTCCACTGCAGACATTGGTTGGATGCAAGCGAATGGGAGAGGAAGTCCTGAAGGCTCTGGAGTCGCAGAAGTAAACAGGTAACCGATAGCCATCAGCACGGAGGGTTGAAGAAGCCTGCGACATGGGATGGTCGAAAGCGCACCGGGATATGATCTGACCTTACCCCGCCAAAGATCGTCGATCTTGCCCCTGGATTGTGTGATTTTGTTTTTATGTTTGCCTGCTTCCGCCCTTGTAGTTGGGTGCAGGAATTTAGCGGATCATCTTTTCCCTTTCCCTTGCTCGTTGGAAAGATTTTTGTGTGCCTTGATTGAATGAATTGTGTCGGTGATGGATAGAAAAATGGGGATGGTTCCCTTTCCTCCTGGCTGGAATGAAAAAGATATTGGATTTTGTGGCACTATCATTTGGAATAAGTCAGTACATTCCTGTCATGTCCCATCTAATGTATCTTGAAAAAAAAAACGAGTGGGTAACAGAAGTAATCATCAACTAGATTTTGGGGTAAGTCGGTTCCGCTAATCTAAGCAGCAGATTCCAGTGTGACTTTGTGAACCTAAAATATCCGTCAATACGACTTTCCCAGAGATTTATTGTTAGCTATGTCAGAAGTAGATTGAGTGGAAGATGGATTTAATTTTTGGGGTGCATTCATCAAAGATGAAATGTTTATAATAGAAGAAATCCGACCTATACTGTACCTAAAGGATTTAAGTTTTTGTGCGCCTACATTTGGGGTAAGAATAAGATTGGTCTGCTAATCTGATGGTCTGCTAATAAGATTGAGCAGCAAAATTCAAATGGCTTTCTGAAACTGAATCTCCACCCATATTTCATTTCCTATTCGAAAAGAAGATTCATTCTACGTTTCAAAAGATTCTGAGACGATGCGAGAGAGTGACCAAAGGAGACGACGAGACGAGAGAGCGGCCAAAGGAAATGATTCCAATGTGGCTGAACCTGAAAGATTTTTTTGTAAAGAGGCGGATTTTTCATTTTTGTATTTATATATAAGAAGAATAAAAAAATTAAAAAGAAAAATGAAATCCGACCTACCGGATTCGAACCAGTGACCTAAGGATTGAATCTGCATCCACTACAGTCCTCCGCTCTACCAACTGAGCTAAGGTCAGCTTGTGTTCTTTTTCCTCCCATAGCACTATTGATACGTTGCTCGTAGCCCAACGGCGCCATGCCACCAACCCTCCCCCGCAACAATTAGTGGCCGGCAGGAGGCGGTTTAGGGCCAAGCAGCAGAGCATTTTGAGATGGAACACGTCGACAGATTCATTCAGGCAATGATGATCAAATTTTTTTTTTTTTTTTTTTTTGAGATAGACATGCTCTAAAATTTATTATACCTTGATTTGAGGCGACCCAAGAACAAGTCAAGTCTGTCGCTCGGTACACCCAACATCCTCCTTCAACTGAATTCTCCAATGCACGTACGTAGTACTTACTTGGCTAGTCTATACTCAACTTTGCTCAGAAGAAGGCTCACCACTACAGTCTACAGTAGGTAAGTATAGCACTCACCGTGCTTGTCTCAGAAGTCAGAACTAGCTAGGCACAGATCTTGTTCCAGAAAAGACCGTCATTGGATCAGATCAGATCAGATTGTACGTGTGTAGCCTGGAGCCTGCACATGCACAACTCCAGACAGACCGAAAATCTCGACGGCTAAATGAACAATCCACCGCTCTCGTCAGCAAAAATCGAGCTCTTCTGGATGTAAACATCGCAAAAATAAAATTGCACGGGAACTGCAGGGACTGTAATAATAACGGTGAGTCAATTTCCAGCCCCCTTTGCACCGTAAACAGGTTCATTCAGACAAGGACGCATACATAAAAGGAAAAAAAATCGAAAGGTTTACAGGGGTAGTGTCAGCAATCAGCACTCAGCACTCAGCACACGGGTAAACCGCGAGTTGCTGCAGGTCAGCCAGCATCACAGCTCAAAGATTACAAGGCCTAAGAAGCCAGACAGAGACACAGCATAGGTCTCCACTCTCCTTAAAGTAAATTCAGCAATGTACATTATTTCAGGCCTCAATTTCAGGGCCAAAGTGAGGTAGCACTTTCCTTCCTCCAGAACCAAACAATTCGAAGCAAGCTGAGCTGGTATGGTGCCTTTCTTCCTTCCTCCAGCAGGAGCCGATTCAGCCAAGCAGCTTAGTTTTTTTTTTTTTTTGAGATGGGACACGCCTACTACTTCAACAGATTCATCCAGAGAAGCATATGCATCAATCCCTCAATAGAAAAAGAAAAAAGAGATAGAAGCATGCATATCAGTTTCTCCTTCAACTGAATTCAGCAATGCAAGCGCAGTGCCTACTAGTGTCCCGAGACAGGCATAGTGGATGCTAATCTACACTGAACCTACTCAGAAGGCTCACTAGTATACTACTTCCTCTCTTCATAAATATAAGACGTTTTAGTGACTTGACACAAGCCACTAAAACATCTTCTGACTGTCTCGGGACTGTGTTCATACCTGACTGACTGACTGACTGACCGACGAAAAATTTCAAAGCCAGGCTCGAGCTTTCTTCCTCCGGGAGCACACCACGCCTCGGCCTGCCGCCCCTTACACTTGAAGAAACAAGTGGCCACTGCAGCGTCATATCCGCATTTTTAGTCTTGTACATAAAGAACAAATGGGATCTGGCCATTGCAACCTGCCTACACATCATCAGATCAAGTCGTATGTATGTAACCTGGATCCTGCACAAGCACAACAGCACAACTCCGGACAGGCATATATCTCGGCAGTTAAATGAATCACAAGTTTGATACAGTATATTCATTTCGTAGCGCAGCGCCGCTACCCTAATAGTCCACCACTCTCGTCAGCAAAAAACCAGCAAACTGCCCCTAAAAATCCTGCACACCATTTCCTCTAGGGTGCAATATCGCAAAAAATAAATTGCGCATGGACTATGGCGAACATAACAGTAACGGTGAATCAGTTTCCAGCCACCTTGCTAATCCATAAATTCAGAATTGTATGTACCTGGCTAATCCATAAAACTGACCTTGCTCATGAGGCCCAGCATCTAGCATTCATTTCGTTGCGACAAGACAGACAGGCCGCCAAGGCCAAGGAAGCACACATAATTTCAGGCCGACGCGAAATCCTCGGGACTCTGTTTTAACTGATGGACCGGCAATTCAAAAGCAAGCTGGAATGGCACCTTCCTTCCTTCCTCCAGGAGCTTATTACACTTCAGAAACAAGCAATCTGGATTCACACCCTCGTCTAGTCTTGTACAGAAAGAACAAACGGGGTTTCCTCCTCATCTTCATACGAGATGGAGCTGCCAGGATGCTGTCACCAAATCAGTGTCCAAATGAAAATGCTCAGCTTCACTCGGGCATACGGCAATTCCCAAATCTTGTTCCACAAAGGACCATCATCACATCAGATCAGATCGGATCGGATCGGATCGGATGCTGCGTGCAGCCTGGAGTGGGACTCCAGGCAGAGCGAAATATCTTGATGACACAGCCACCAATGGGCAGCCATGTTGCCTGGCATTTCAGTGGTAAAGCCGTTTGTGTTTCTTTTTTTTTCCTTTTGTCAAGTCAGCTTATGGGGTGTGCGTTTCAGTGTGACTTCTGTTATGTCATGTGTGTCACCAGTAGTCTTTGCAGGAGCATGCGCCGTCCTGGAACCTGTGGAACCGGTTGGCGTCCCTGACCACCATCGCCCGCCCCACCACCCGCGACAGCCCCTTGAAGAACTCGTGGCAGTCGCCGCACACCCGAAGGTTCTTGTACACCCTGATCACCTCCCTCCTCCCCCCCTCCTCCTCCTCCTCCTCCCCGTCGCCACGGTGGCGCTCACCGTGGTGCAGCAGCCACAGCCCCACGGCCAGCCGCTCGCTGTGCGCCCGCAGGCCCTCGGCGCGCGACTCCTCGTCCACGTCGTGCAGCGCCGCCGCGTGCGCCGGCGACCCAGCACTGTACCCGAGCCGCTCCCTCATCCTGCTCTCCACGTCGCGGAGCACGCGGTGGATGTCGGCGGCGCGCGGGTGGGTGGTGTCGCCGCCACCGTAGAAGAAGTGCGCCTCCTTCCCGACCTCCACCCAGCTGCATCCGCCCTGCTTCCGCAGGCCTCTGCGCCGCATGGCATCGCGCACCTGCTGGTGCTCGTGCCATTCCCCTGCCTCGGCAAAGATGTTGGACAACATCACGTAGTTGGCCGGGTTGTCGCCGTCCATGGCCAGGAGGGCCTCGCCTGCCTCCTTGGCTGTGGTGACGTCCTTGTGCACCCTGCAGGCGCTGAGCAGCGTCTGCCATACGCCAACGGTGGGTGCCATCGGCATCGTCGCAACGAGGTCCCTGGCCTCCGCGAGCTCCCCAGCGCGGCCGAGGAGGTCGACCATGCACGCGTAGTGCTCTGCTCTCGGCCTCAGCCGCCGGTCCTGTTGGATCACTGAGAAGTAGCAGCGGCACTCCTCAACAAGGCCAGAGTGGCTGCATGCTGACAGGAGGGCCAGGTAGCTCACCTCGTCAGGCTCGACGCCTTCCGTTCGCATTTTCTCGAACATGGCAATGGCCTCTCGGCCATTGCCGTGCTTCCCGAGGCCATTGATCATCGCTGTCCATGACACGACGTTCCTCATCGGCGTCTCCCAGAACCGCTGCTCTGCCTCGTCGGTCAGCCCACACTTGTGGTACATGTCGACCAAGGAGTTGGACACTGACACGTCCATCCCTGTTGGATTCTTCACCGTGTAGCAGTGCATCTGCCTCCCTTGCTCCACGAGGGCGAAGTCTGCAAACACACCGATGACGCTGGAGAGGACATGCCCATCAGCACGGACGCCGGAGCTCCAGAACCGCCGGAACAGATCCAATGCTTCCTTCACCTGCCCTTCTTGTGCATGCCCGATGATCACCGTTGTCCACTGGATGGCATTCTTCCTTTCCAACCGATCGAACACCTGCATCGCCACCGGCAGGCACCGGCATTTGACGTACACATCAAGCAGCGCACCAGCGAGGATTGCATTGGACGCCGTGAAGACACCTCTGACCGACATGGCTGCGTGAACCTGCACGCCCTCGCGAGCAGCACCTAGGCCACTGCAAGCTTTCAGCAAACTGGCGAAGGTGAACTCATCAGGCTGACAATCCTCGTCACCTCGTCGCTGCATCTCCCGGAAGACGAGCAGCGAATCCCTGCCACGCCCGGCGTGCGCGTAGCCGGAGATCATGGCGTTCCAGGTGACGAGGTCCCTGAACGCAGCAGCGCCATCAAACACCCGCCGCGCGTCGCTGATCCTCCCGCCCTTGGAGTACACGAGCACGAGCGAGTTGGCGACGACGCCATGCCCCTCGAACCCCATCCTGACGCAGGCCCCGTGGACACGGACGGCGGCGCCCGTGTCGCCGACGACGCCACATGCCTTGAGGGTCGCCGAGAGGGTGAACTCGTTCGGCGGGACCTCCGAGACCCGCCGCATCGCCCCGAAGAGCCGGAGGCACTCTCCGGCGCGCCCCTGCTGCAGGAATCCCACCATGAGCGCCGTCCAGGACACCACGTTCCTCTCGGGCATTCCGTCGAACACCTGGCCGGCCGCGTCGAGGCGGCCGCACTTGGCGTACATGTCGACCAGGTTGTTGCCGAGCATGGTGTCGGATCCGAAGCCGAGCTTGGTGAGCGCGCCGTGGAGCTGCGCGCCGCCGCGGAGGTCCGGGCCCCTCGCGCTCGCCCGGAGGAGGTCCGCGAGCATCTTCCGCCGCTCCATTGGGTTCGCCCTGGAGAGTTGGAAGGGAGATGGCGGCGCCGGACAATGAGAGATCGCGGCGAGGTCAGCATGTGGAGGGCGCCAGCCGCGCTCGTCGCCGGTCGTGGGCGCGCACGGTGCGCGCTGGGAGTGGCGTCGCACGGGGAAAGAGAAGAGGGAGAGGGACAAGTGTTGTATTTTTTTTCGCTCTGTAATTTCTGAAGTGATGGGCTGTGATTTTCAAGAACTTGGCCCAAAATCATCCATTTTCATATGGAAATTTTGAACTTGGTGGCATGCTTTCATTTTCAGTTTATCTGGTGTTGACTACAATGTATCTAGACATATTTTAGTTCTAGATACATACATTTTTATCCATTTATGTGACAAGTAATTTCGGAAGGTGTTTTTCTTACATTCCAAAAACAAACTAGCCTCCTTTTTTTTCTAGTATTTACTACTCCCCAATGTAAACTAATATAAGAGCGTTTATAGATTACTAAAGTAGTGATCTAAACGCTCTTATATTTGTTTACGGAGGGAGTAGAAATTTGATCCTTTTTTTTTTACTTTCTACAGTGGAGATAGTCAGCACGTAATGACAGCAAAGATCAAAATAAGAAGCGAATTCCAGGTTAGTTGTCATTTTCCTTTACACTGGTAGACTTGCATCCAGAGTTTCCTTACATTATATTCACATTCACATTTTTTCCATACAGTAAGTCAAGTACAGTAAACTGATCAACCAGTCCTAAGCTTCAGATGCTGAGCAGTCCTACATGCTACAGTTCAACGGCACGAAACTGTATATGGATATATTTCTGTAAAGTACAAACATTCAGATCTATATTGCCACTATCTGAAGCCAGCACGAAGGAGCCAACGGATCATATGCTTCAGATGATACTGCAACGCAGAGCCAAAATCCTCTTCAGTTTCAGCGTGGCAGCTACGGTCTGAGGAAGCCGTGGCTGATGAATTCTTGCAAGGACATCCGCTTCACTGAAAACAAAACAGGCGCCCAGACGTCAGCTATGTATAACCATCCGGAGTTTCAGCATTTTGGTTGGCGGAAGAGGCGGCATGACCAGCGCCGAAGACAGACCTGGATTCGTGCATAGTAGTCTGGTGCATATGTCGATGGAATCAGGATGTAAGCTGGGTACCACGAGCTGCGAGAACGGAAGGGAGCTACTGGTTCTGTTTATGCATTGAAGCATCTGAAGAAAGTAAACATGTGAGCAAAGGAGGACTGTTGTGAAATCGAAGGATCTGATAGGATGATTGAACACCATTGGCGAGTGAAAGCGCATGACCTGCACGTTGCTTCTACCACGGAACGGTGGGTAGCCGTTCAAGAGCTCAAACAGGATTGCACCGATACTCCACAAGTCTACCTGCACACAGGAGATGTTCAGATTCGTGGCCGAAAAGGTTGGGCATGTGAGCATATAAGGCATACCTTGTCATCGTACTTCTGAAATAGCATGACTTCAGGGGCCATGTACAAACGAGTGCCGCAGGCTGTCTCCGCATACTCCCCAGGATGAAGAACCCTAGTAAAGAGCAACAAATGTGACTGTATTTTTGTTTGTCCAGAAACTTTAGTATCATTACATATATTTTTGGTTTCTGCTACTCTGATGTGGTTCAGTAGCCAATAGATGTTGAAAGAACGTCCAATGATTGATTTCAAAGTTGACCAAAAGAACAGCAGCGGTTGCTACAATGAATGCCATATTTTTTTTCCTGCAACTACTCATACATGATAAAATGGGTACTTGTCAATACAAGAACTGCCATTTCAGAACATACCTGGACAGGCCGAAATCGGATATCTTGAGTATCGCATCGCTGCCAGGACAAGAGAGCAGGATGTTCTGCAACAATTCATTCAACAGCTCTATCAATTCAAAATTAACAGTTCAACCTAGTCAGAAAGCACTAAACAAATAATTTAACAAGGGATTTCAGTCCCTGGACCTCAGGCTTCAGGTCCCGGTGGACGACGTGGTGCCGGCGGAGCACTTGCAAACCAGCTCCTGCCAGCCACAAGGGGGCAAGCTCCAGTTTTCACACATCACATCGAATCGAAATCGACGGTGGAAACAAGAATTCAGCGAACAATTTGGGGAATACAGTAGATGATAGGATCAATTACCGATCTGTCTCATGAAGTTCCTAGCGACGCCCTCCTCAACCCTGCCGCCGGCGCGCTGGATGTAGGCCGCCAGGTCTCCCCCCTCGCAGAGCTCCATCACGAGGTAGATGCAGCCCGGGGTCTGTCCGAGACGGAGCGTAATAAGCCACTCGATTGGTACAAGAAGACGAGAAGGGAGGCTTGGGGGCGTTCGTACCCGGACGACGTCGAGGAGGCGGATGATGTTGGGGTGGCTGACGGCGGCGAGGAAGCGGAGCTCGCAGTCGAGGCTGTCGCGGAGGCGGGCCGGGAGGCCGGCCAGCCGCACCTGCTTCACGGCCGCGGGGGCGCCGGTCGAGAGCCGCACCGCGCGCCACACCGACGTGGCCGGGGGCCGCCCGCCGAGGCGCTCGCGCAGCTCGTAGCCGCCCACCACCGTCGGCGCCGCCTCCGTGCTCCTCCCTGCCATCGAGAACGGACTGGAAGGCCGTACCCAAGCGAGACAAAAAAAATTCTTGGAATGAAAATAGCAATTCTGATTGGGCCAAGAGGCCCATTATCCGACAGGCCGTAAGCCCAGCATGAGAAAGCTCAAACTATTAGCAAAAGCCCATTATTTACTCATTTTTTTATTAAAAGCCCATCGGTTTCTAAAAAAAGCCCATCGATTATTCCCCTAAAAATATGAGCAGCTAAATGGAGGTTATCCTTGCAGGGATCGGCAGGTCGCGGGAGCATGCCAAGTGGTGCATCTAGCCGCCGTCACATGTCACGTGCTGGGTGCTCCCTCTGAATTTCGTATTTTATTTTTCTATATATGTTTTCGGGTTTATATGGTTTATTTCTGGTTTTTCGGTTTTCCACTGGTTTTTCTTAGGTTTCATAAGAAAAAATCGTGGATATTTTTCAGCGCAAAAAACTAAATTGTGCTCCCATGAAAAAGCATAGATTACTTCTCGTGGCGACACAAAATTGCTTTCGTGAGAAGAAGAAAAATTGTGCTTCCAGATTTGTTTCTCATGTAGGCTGATATGTCTCCAACGTATCTATAATTTATGAAGTATTCATGCTGTTATTTTATCATTGTTGGATGTTTTACAACCATTTTATAGCAACTTTATATCATTTTTTGGGACTAACCTATTGACCAAGTGCCTAGTGCCAGTTGCTGTTTTTTTTTCTTGTTTTTTACATCGCAGGAAATCAATACCAAACGGAGTCCAAACGCAACGAAACTCCACGAAGATTTTTTATGGACCAGAAGGAACCCAATGGGCCAGAGCTGCACTTAGGGGGGGTGCCCCGAGGGGGGCACAACCCACCAGGGCGCGCCAGGGCCCCCTGGCGCGCCCAGGTGGGTTGTGCCCACCTCGGTGGCCTCCCACACCCCCTCTTTACCCTATAAATTCACAAATATTCCAAAACCCATGGGGGTAGCCCTAGATCAGAAGTTCTGCCGCCGCAAGGCCTTTGTATCCACGAGATCCAATCTAGACCTCGTTCCGGCACCCTGTTGGAGGGAGGAATCATCTCCGGTGGCCATCTTCATCATCCCGGCGGGCACCATGATGAGGAGGGAGTAGTCCATCCTCGGGGCTGAGGGTTTGTACCAGTAGCTATGTGTTTAATCTCTCTCTCTCTCTCTCTCATAATCTATATCATGGGCTTTGTGAATATAGTCGAATCATATGATGTTTCTCCCCTCTATACTCTTGTTATGATGAATTAAATCTTTACCCTTCAAAGTTTTGTCTTGTCGGATTGAATATTCAGAGATGAGAACACGTGATATATGTTTTGCAATATGAATACTTGAGGTGACAATGAGGTATCTTATTGGTTCACTTGATATGTGTTATGGCATTCAACTCGCGGATTCCCGTGGTAATATTGGGGTAATCTATGCATAGGGGTTGATGCACGTTTTTCTCTGACGAAAACTTTGGGGTCTCTTTATAGTTCTTTGTGTGGATTGAGTATTATGAATATGAATTTGCTTTGGTGTTATTCTAGTACGAACTCTAGGATAGATCGAGCGGAAAAAATAGCTTTGTGTTATTTTAGTACGAACTCTTGAATAGATCGAACGGAAAGAATAACTTTGAGGTGGTTTCGTGACTTAGAAACAATTCCTATCTTTTGTTCTCCGCTAATAGGAACTCGGGAGTGATTCTTTATTGCACTTTGAGGGATAATCATATGATCCATCTATGTTAGCACTGTTGAGAGGTTGCACTAGCGAAAGTACGGACCCTAGGCCTCATTTTCAAGCATTGCAACACTGTTTTTGTGCCCTTTTACTATTTGCTACTTTGCTATTTTTATTCATTCAGATTATAAAAAATATATTTCTACCATGCATATTACACTTTATCACCATCTCTTCGCCAAACTAGTGCACCTATACAATTTGCCATTGTATTGGGTGTGTTGGGGACACAAGAGATTTCTTGTATTTGGTTGCAGGGTCGTTTGAGAGATACCATCTTCATCCTACACCTCTCACGGATTGATATACCTTAGGTCATCCACTTCAGGGAAAATTGCTACTGTCCTACAAAACTCTGCGCTCGGAGGCCCAACACATGTCTACAAGAATAAAGTTGCATAGTAGACATCACAGGCACACATTTGCTTTTCTGAGAAACACATATTTGCTTTGGAGGATCCAAAATTGAATGGTGGAGCTGTCAGTTGGTGTAGTTCCAAGCAGAGCGTCGTGGCGGGATCTACGTGTGAAGCGGAGTACATAGCTGCTTCGGAAGTAGCAAATGAAGGAGTCTGGATGAAGGAGTTCATATCCGATCTAGGTGTATACCTCGTGCATCGGGTCCAATGAATATCTTTTGTGACAATACTGGAGCAATTGCCTTGGCAAAGGAATCCATATTTCACAAAAATACCAAACACATCAAGAGACGCTTCAACTCCATCCGAGATTTGGTCAAGGAGGGAGACATAGAGATTTGCAAAATACATACGGATTTGAATGTTGCAGACCCGTTATCGTGGAAATATCACGTCAGATGTCCTCGTGTAAGGACTTAGTCGTGGAGCCATCACGACGGGTTAGCTTAAAGGGGTTAAACCGGACAAAGGACACGAGGGATTTTATACTAGTTCAGCCCCTACGTCTAGTTGTGATGGGATTATTGGGGTCTCGCTAACCAGGGAGCTAAACAAGCTATGCCTGGCTATCGAGTTGTGTTTCTTGTCCCTGAACCGCCGCCGGGTCGTCCCCTTATATACACGGGTTGACGCCCGGCCGGTCTACAGAGTCCCGAGGCCGACTCATACAAGTGTTCAGCTCGGTCTCTCCCTTCCTTATCTTACAATACAAGTTACATGACTATGGCGGTTTACCAATATGGGCCCTAATCCGCCTTTGGGCTCCGGGCCTCTAAGTTTCATAGTAAAGCGCCATCTTCTAATCTTCGTGGGCTTCAATACGGTTGAGTGTAAACCGGCCCCTCCTGGGCGGTTTATATTCAATAGTTATATCCCCAACATTAGGCCCCAGAGTGATTGAATTTATTCATGTCAATCTTCAGTACTTCAAAAAATCCTGTGAACATCTTCCTTTGCTTCTCGTAAACTGCCATGACATCTTTTTTCATAAATTTTGTTAAACCGCCGTGACATCATCCTCAGGATACAGCAACGGATCATCATGGCGCCATCTTTGTAAAAAATGAATAAAAAAATTCCTCTTATTAATGTCATCCTCGAAATCGAGGCGACATCTGTGCCACTCGCCGCTTTTGACTCCTTGATTTTCGCCGGTCTTTGTCCATTTTCCTTATAAATAGACCATGGGGCCCTTTCCTTTCTTCCCCTTCCGCACTTCTTCTTCTTCCTCGCGACGCCCCAGCTCTGAAGCTCTGCCACCGCTCTCGACCTTCAAACGCTGCATCAGCAAAGGCCGCTGCATCAACCTGGTTGTACCAGAGACCTTCGGCGTTCCTGCGCTATCCTGCGCATCCGGTAAGCCTCTCCCTCATAACCCTAGATCTATATTTTAGGGTTCCTGTTTTCATCTGCGTTCATAGGTGCTTATCCTAGTCTTTCCATATTCACTGCTGCCATAGCTTTTTGATTCAACCGTAGCATAAATCCCGTGCGGCAGTTGCTCCGCATCCAGTTTAGTACTTAGTAGGTCTTCCTCCTTACATAGACTTCCTTAATAGAGCGCATGAACTTCTCTGCTCTGTTTAGCACCTTTATAGATCGCAGAAAATTTTCTTACTGAAACTTTGGTAGATCCAAATTAATTCCGTCACTGTGTGAAACCTGTCTCTGTCAACACTTAGCAGATTTTGAACCCAGGCCC